AATTTGAAATTCTTTGGCTGGTTTTGTAACATAAATTTGTGAAGTTTTATTGTTTTTGTAAATTATTGAAACTTTGGGGAGTCTTTGTTTGTTATCGGCAAGGACTATGTCAAGAAGAGTATATTCATGGTTTGGGTTGGGAGGTTTGGAAGAGGGGCCTCCCTTCTTCTTGTTTTTTCCTTTGGACGAAATTTTTGTTTTCTTGGGTATTTCCTAATTTGGTAGTTTAATGCGATTGAGAAAGAGTTTTTTTTTTGTTTTTTTTAATATATATACATGTACTTTTGTTCAATTTGAAATTTATATATATATAAATAATATTTGATATATATATTGAAAATACTTTTGTTCAATTTAAATTTTTATTCAATAAAAAATTTATACCAAAAATTTTTGATACCAGAAAAATATAAAAGTATACAATATAGGCTAAAATTATATTTAGAGAAAGAATAAAATATTTATATTCTTTATTAAAACCCTTAGTCTTTTTTAATAGATATCTTATGTAAAGTACATGAATAACTTGATATGTGACTAAAAAAATAAATCATAACATCTTTGAGTGAGGTGAAAAATATGGAGGTGTTCAAAAAGTGACCAAAGCTGGATATATAAAATGATATAAAATATAGCAGGATGACGATTAAAAACAATTTTGGCTATAAATTAATAGGCAGTGTTCAAAAAGTGTACCAGAAAATACAATTTTCCTCTACTTAGGTTATACTAATATATTCTTGTTGTAATTTTGCTATTCAAATATCCAAGACTAATGAACATAAAATTAAATTTTTGGATATACAGTGGTGATCATAAGAAATAACAATTTTTTCTTTGACAAATTTTTATAAATAAATAAATAATAAAATTGTATAAATAATATTAAAAACTTTATAAAACATATTTTTAAAGTATAATAAGAAAAAACATTCATTTATTTGTTAAATAATCTTAATATAATGATATTTATTTTTTATTTAAAGTTTTAAAAAATCTTAAAAATGCAAATTAAAAAATATAAGATAAAAATTTTTATAAAAAATAAATTATTAATTAATAAAATAATTTTGTAAAAATATTTGTACAATATTAAATATCAATAATGTTATTAAATTGATTAAATAAAATAGTTTTGTAAAAAAAATATTTGTAATATTGAAAAATGTCAAAAAAATATTTTTTTATTTAAAAAGAAAAAATTCAATTAAAAAAAATAATAAATCAATTAAAGTACCTTATAACAAACATGTTTTCAAGATATTAAAGAATATACTGTATATATGAAATTTTATATAATTTAAATCAATAATTATAAAGTTATAATCAAATTTATGATTGTCATTTCTTGTGAATACCTCTGTATATTCTATTAAATTATTTTTTGTATGAATATATGCTGTTGATAATAAAGATTTTTGTTGACAAGTTCAATAAAAATCATTACTAGGCAGTATGTTCATTTATATACTGTATAATATTTCTTCATCCATAGCCTGTAGATGTTGTAATATTAATAATTTTCCCACAAGAATAATATCTATTTTTTTCAAATATCAGCACGTGGCATATTCAACTTTTACATCAAGATCCCGATTAAAAAAGTTCCACACTTTGTTAATTGTGATCCAGTTCTATGTTGAACAGTGACTGTTGAAATCAAAGTATATTGATTTAATTGGGAAGTTGCATCAGAACTTATAGATGGAGTGGGCGAATAAACTCTGTTTTTTTTTTTTTTTGAATTTAAATAATTTTTGTAAAGATGTAAATAATTCTCTGTTGTCAAGTATTTTCTGAATCAGAATTCATCGATTATTAGTATAAATCGTGAAAGATAGAAAAAAAAAACCTATGTTATAAAAAAACAAATCAATTGTATACCAAAAAAGAAAATAAATTGACGAGCAAACTATTCATGTATGTTAATAATCCGGATAGCTCGAAGAAATGAATTTTTATCTAATAATAGCTTACCCGGATAATTCGAATAAATAGTTAAATGGATCTAACCCCTAATAGTGATAAATTATGAAAATGATAGGCATACGTAATTTAAAAGTTATTAATGCAGTGGTCAAGTTTTTTAAACTTATGAATAGAAAACTAGACACCTTTTTTTTTTTTTTCGGTGTTCATAAATTCTTATACATACCTATACGGTGCCTTTTTTTTCTTGCGGAAAAGAATCAATCAATATGGTTTCTTTGTATTAACCAGATTTGACACATTCCGCATCATCTTGGGCCGGATTATTGTATTATAAAAAAGCTCCGCGGAACCCGACGCAATATATCGCACATGTACAATAAATGGTTATATCCAATTGATAATTCCATAATCTTTCGGCTAATTATTTATTTACCTAAACAATTGTGAGAAAAAATTGAATTCAAAATCAGGATAAAAAAAAAAAAAAAAATTTTTTTTTTATGATAAGAAAATTAACTCTCCTGCGTGCGAATATACGTTAGATACGGTTTGAATATTAGTAATAACTAACCGCAGAGCCGCTACGTGTCCGATTATATTTACAGTATTTGGTTTAACGTGCCTTTTGATACCTGTATTTAACGGATCAGATGAACTGTGCAAAAGAACAATGGGCATATGGGTTGAATCATAAAATAAAAAGTAAAATAGTAAATCATTGAAAATTTCATAGCAGAGTCAAGCCTTTAATTGACAAGTTTTCTTGTACAATATTAGTCTGGTTGTGAATCAAACAATGAAGGCGTTTGTTGTGATCCTATAAACTCGTAAAATTTATTACCCGGAAAAAAAAAAAAAATAGATATAAGGCTATGGTTTTTTTCTTCTATTCAAACGCGACAATTTCAAAAAAAAACCCCCAAAAAATTTTTTTAGAAAAAACGCAATGATTAATAGTAATTTCAGATTGACCAAAAGGCAATGTCGCAAAGAAATTTACCCTCTGGTCAAAGAATTATTACATAAACAACCTGGAACTCATGTCAGAGGTAGAGCCTTACTGTCTTTACACATTTCCATGGTTACAGGAAAACTTGGGCTATCGTACTCGGACAAAAAAATTTCACAATACATTTGGAAATATTGTCTAAAATGGAAAGAGCGTGTATCTTACATGGAAGGCAAGAACCTTTCGGATGATATTCCCAGTAACGAAAATATTGGATCACAGGTTGAGAAAATATCACTCGCATTCACACAAAGCCAGGCTCAAGAATTTCTTGACGTGCAACCATTTAATGTCCCCCCTCTGCAGGAGCCTCGAATAAATGACATGATCACCGGCATTACTTTTTGAAACAAACAAACAATATTTCGATTAAATTAGATATTATCGATCATAATATCACGTATCCACAAATTCCAAGCGAAAAAATTTTTTTTTTCATAGATGCAATGTGCAACATATTTCGTATTAGTATGTACAATATATTTCGTATTAGTGGGGCTTGGAAATTACGTATTTCGTATTTACGACTTTTTTTTCACGTACAATTTAAATCGAGATTTTATTTTATTCGCGCGATTTTTCGTTTTGATTAATATCATCTTGGCAAATCTCATTATGATTTTCTCTTAAAAAAATATACTAAGATTTATGTGATAATATAATAACCATGTTTCCTAAAAGGTTACTTCACGCCTTATCGCGAAGGATACTTGGAATCCTTTTTTCCCTAAATTTGGAGAATAATTTTTTTTTTTTGTTTGGGATCAATAAACCGGAAATAAAGTGTACAAATAACTCGTTCGTTATTTTTCTATCTAGAAGTATAAAGAACCAGTGATTTAAACAATGATATATAATATTTATACCGGATCTCCGGTAAAATATGGGTGATAACACCACGGATTTGGTGACGCATAAAAATAACATACACAAACTTGTCGCTTCTTTTTTTTCTTTAAAAAGAAAACCACATAAACGTACTAATATAAGACAGAATAAGACAAAGGCTGTTCTCTACTCAACAAAATATTAAATAACACACACATTTAAAATTATCTGGGGAATGCAAGGGCTTTTGTGAATAATGGACCAACAAATCAAACCTGTCTTAAATCAGATGGTCTGATAGTGGGTTATATTAAAGTCAAGATTTCATTGCAAATAATGATTTGAAATCATTTTGTAATAAATACAGTATATGCGTTCGTAATAGTCGAATATCTCTACTTTATTTTTGCCCCCTTTTTTTTAGTTGTTTCTAACGAAGTGTCAGGCTTTACATATACCTGTGCTATTCAGTTTTCCGTGAAACTGATCGAAACTAGTTACACGTTATTCAAAGATCCTGTATACAGTATTGCATCAGAATTTTCGCGGATTTTCCGTTTTTCCTTTCTTTTGATATTTTAGGTAAAAGAAAAAAAAAAAAATCCATTATTTGATCTCGTCTTATAATTCAATGACACTCCGATTATTTTATACATGACATGATCGAATGCATTAATGGGTTCAATAAGCAAGTCGGAGTAAATTAACTTTATATAAGTAAACTATATTACTTGTCGTACGCTTCAATGTACAGTGGCCCGCTTATACAGTACAGTACATGATTTTTTGCTGAATGCTATATCCTTTATTCATTTAACAATTTCCGTCAGGTAGATAATGACAGCCAATACATTTCGGAGTCAACGCATAAAACGATCCGACTACTGTTTATGATAATTAAGTGATGCACTGCGCACACTGATATATTCACGTATAAAGAATTTATACATGCGTCGAACTGTTATTGTTTATATTCGTTTGATACGGATAGACATTCTTTTCTCCCATCGAAAGAATTCTAAGTGACGGATCTGATTGAATTCAATACCGTGAAAAAAATTTTGATAAAAAAAAAAGGTTTGTGTAATTTACTGTTTGAATGGTTGTAGTGTTAAATGGTGTGAATTTGCGCTTTCAGACAATGATAAGAACAGTTTTTACTTGTACACTAATTTCCGGTTTCTCGCCTGTTATAATTAAAAGGATTTTCCAAAATTCACTAGATGGAATCAAAAAGGAAGAAGGAAACAGGCAATATTGCTCTTGTCATCATGTATAGTCTAGTGCGACAAGAACTTGTAATAGCGATTTGATCTGACCTTCATTTAATTATTTAGAATATCGATAGATCAAGTCATTTGACTTAGCGATATCATGCAAGGCACAGAACGGCCAAACGGTTTAGAGTAAACCGAAAAATCTTGTGGTGCGCGACATTGCAATGAAGAAGCATTACATATTATGTGAAAGTCAAAGTTTGATGGCTTACGAATGCGCGGGAACAGTACATAATAATGATGCAAATACTTGTAGCTTCACCAGAGGAATGTTTGTACATATTTGTAGAACAAAGGTACTGTACTGTATGTATATGTATACCGATTTTACGAAGGAAAGTCGAAGTGCATACAGTAGATACTGTACTGTAATGATTTATGGATAATAGCATTTATACGCCGGAGGATCACAACAATTTCCTGTGTAACCTGGATTTATTATGTTAAAGAAAATTCGGTAAGATAATATTTAAATCATGATAAACTTTTAATAGCTTTCAAAGAGCGATTCCAGTGCTCTGATTAAATTATTGTACGTTGAGAAACTCCCCGGGCTACCTTGTGTGTCTTATTCCAGATATTTTCGATCCTAGTCTTTAAATTTAACGTTAGATATCATTTAATAAATTTTTGATTATTACCAATAAAATTTAAAATTCGGACCAAATATATCGGGGCACGCGACAACGAGCTCCGCTCATAAGTCCCCATTGATTTTTTTACGCCACTTAAAGAAAACAAATACACTACAGGTTTTTATCTGCCTTTGATAAAATTTGAAGATATTGCAAAGTTCGAAACGCCCATATTCATTTGGCGTATTGATCTTTCTAAATACTGTACAAATAAGTGAAGCTTATCGTAAGTTTACATAATCTCATCTTATTTATTATTCTTGTTCGACAATTTTGTCGACGATTCGGAATCTCTAAACCACACTTACTGTAGAAAGAGAATTAAAAATTTTTTCGACTAACGAATTAATGCGTCGTCAAAGACAACAGTAAAATTTAAAATATCTAGATGTTGATACGATCTAGCGGGTTTTCTTTATCTACAAACTCACTGCATATAATGTCATTGCTCATGATATTTGATTACTAATACAGAATCGAAATCATGCTATAACAAAAGCATTTGTCTAAATAATTTGATTGTTCTATTTAATAAGCGTAACCTCAGCACGACAAATACTCCGATCACGTGATTGATATGTAAAAGATTAATACAGTACAGTACTGTAAGTGCCGCACATAACCTTTGAACTTGCTTTATTCGTTTTTTGTTTTATATTCGGTGATGTATTTTTTTTTTTTTTTTTTTTTAAAAAAAAAGAATTCATAGCTCGTTACAAAAAAAAAATGGGTAATCGTATTTTATTTGCGATTTTGTAACCTTATTACGATAATTATTAATTAAAGTACACGTATATACTGTATATTGTGATATTTTTATTTTATATTAGTGATTTGACAAATAGATATAACCTATTTCCTTTGATTCTTTTTTTTATCGCAACCTTTTACTTGCAACAAGCCATACTACAATACATTGCCATAACTATTGTTGTTTATGTTGTCATGACAAAACCATGTAATAGTAAAAATACAAAGAAAGAAAAAGAGAAAAAGAAAGAAAGAAAAGAAGCGAAATAATAAAGTAACATAGGGCTATTTCCAGTATAGAAAAGGTTTCGGCATACAATCAGAATGACGGTTTGTCGATCCTTTTCTCTATATTTAATCGTCTTTTGTTTGTTTACACAGTTTACAAGTTGAATTCCCCCCTTTTTTTTGTTGCGGAAAAATATACAATGAAATATAGAAAATGATGTATGGTGAAATTTCGCGGAATTCGAACACGGAAATCGGAGTTACTTTGTTTAAATTTTTGATGTTTCTTTAAATTTTAAATTAACCTTTTTTGCATGAATCTTTTTTTTTTTTCACTTACAACGTGAATTGAATTCTTTTATTGAAATATACTGTATAATCGCAAATCTCATATTTACTAAACATTACATTATACCTTATCGCGAGACACAAAAAAATAATCTCTTATCTCTCTTTCATGTAGAAGTAATTTTTAATTTAAAACAGAGTTATCATACAATATTTGTAATAAATTTACTGGTCTTTTGTTGCCTTTGATAAAGGACATATACAGTATTCATTGTGCGTGTAATACTGACTTTTTAACGCCACCAGTTAGCACATGAAAATAACTTGTGACAAACCATACTGTCTTTTGTTTACTTTACCTTGCGATCAAATTTTGTTCCTTAAGACATCATTGGATTATTTTTTTTTTTTATACTACATACAGTTCATATCAGTATATACAGTATGTAAAGCAACTCATGAATGTATACGTCAAATCGCTGGTTCATCTTTGAAAACATTATACTGTACTGAAATGTCAATTCATGAAAGAGATACGATATGGTAGATTACGGGTATACATTATTTTGAACAATTCCTATGATTTCTTGTTCTCTCCGAATTTCACCGTTTATAATAAAAAACCTCGTTTTTCAAAAAAATAGAATGTAACACGAACTTGTAAGAATATTTTGTTTTACCTAACCGCCTTTTAATGATTGAGAACACTGTTAGATAAAGTCACTGGCCATTTGTGTGACATACTTTGTGTCACTCACTTCGCCAATAGTATTGTTATACGTGCAGTAGTGAATATCTTTGATGCAAGTATATATTCCCTAGTGAATGCTTTAGTTTTAACCACCAGTTAGATACTATCAATTTGGAGACTTAATTTTTGTTGTAGTTGTTCTACTGAATATATCTTTTTTTGGTAAAATACGGAACGGCCAAAAAGATTTAGTGTGCATTCGGCATAACACTATGTGAAATAATTAATCCTTGTATATTAAATGTAGATCATAACTTACTTAGCCCGAAGGAATATAGAAGGGCATTTTTGTAGAAATTTCTTATCGTTCATTGTTCGTACAGTTAGTTAAGTCGCGCAGAAAAAAAATTAATTCTAGAATTCATAGAAATTCGATTAACCGTTCTATACAGTGTCTACTGGACATCACTATCAAAGTCCTACGAATTGCCCAAACACTTGATTTCCATTTTTCATTGTGTAATACATCATATATATTGTGACCATGCATAATATGTCACCCCCTATTTCTATAAAAACTTTCTTCTTTCGCTAGATAAACAAAGTGAGAAATTCTCCAATGGAAAGTAGTACAAATCAGGAGAAAATAAC